ACCCCACCCCCCGGTACTGGGAATCGAACTTATGACCTTGCGCTTGCCAGGCAGGCACTGTGCCGCTGAGCTAAATCCCCAGCCCACCTCTTCCATTTCTACTGTGCGGTTAAGTCCTTATCTCCTGCCTGAGCAATTGGAAAGTCTAATCTTAATTAAGGTCTTCAGAAACCTTTGCTGCCCACAGTTACCTCGACTATCTTTTAAAATCACTAATATGAAGAATCTCTCCTCCGCTAAATGCATCTCCTTTGGGGAATGGTGAATGTTTCCTTTTCTCATTGTGAGCCGGATAGAAACCTGGCAAGAAAGGACATGTGGTATCTTGTTAATCAAGTGTATGGAATCAGATGTGGCCTGTGTATAAAGTAGTCCAGATAAAGGTTGAGCTCCTTTCCATGCACTTTTTTTTTTGGGTGGGGGACTTAGGCAGGCTGGCCTTGAATTCATGGCAGTCCTCCTGCCTCAGCCTCCCAAGTGCTGGGATCACAGGCGGGCATGTGCCACCATGCCCAGGTTTCCATGTACATTTTTGATTTGCAGAAGTGGTCATTTTAGTTAACATCAAGGGAAATAGCCGCTCAGTAGTTATTGAAGAAGCAGAAATAACTTTGTAAAATTTTAGTGATTACTATTAAGTAAGAGTAATCACTATATGGTAGTAGTGGCATTGTCAGCAGAACCCCAAGTAGGTCTCTCAGCCCGTGCTCTAGGTGGGAATTCTGAGCCTAGAATAAAGGTGCTTGGCAGGACTGTTGGAAAACCTGGCATTGTGGCAAGACAGGGAGACCGCTGCTGTTCTCAGTTGCGTCCAAAGCCTTTGGCCTGACTTCTGAGCCTTAGCGTTAACATTCTTTATTTCTAGGACCAGCTCCTCATGTGGGACCTGCTTGTTTGGTTTAGTGCATACATTTTAACATCTGAAAATGCCAGGCCAACTTTTAGTAAAAATTTGTTTTCTAAGATAGGGAAGAGTGATTTTTTTCCCCCTTCTGCCCTGTTCCCTTGATAATAGTAGAGAACAAGAATTTATTTGTGATGTTTAAAAATTTAGGATTATGGTAACTAGAGACACAGAATTCCAGAGAATTCTGGGTTGGGAAAATGTAACTTGGGGCTCTTCTAAGAATCAGCACTAAAGTGAAACCAAGTGTCTGGTCTCATTTGATAAGGAGAGAGACTGTGAGCTATTAATCAAGACAGCTCTGCATATGGCTTTGAGGTCACCGGGCTTGTGTGCAGGTCTGCTTGCCCTTGTTCGCGAGGTCCAGGCTTGTGACTACCTGAATCAGAAACAGAAATTCCTGAAGAACTAAATAAACCTGGGATGCGTGGACTGTGCTTACTCTACAGCTTTTGAAGACCCTGATAGTGCCGTCGACGACCGCGACAGTGACTACCGCAGTGAGACCGGCAGCGGCGCCCCACCTCCTTATCACACGGCTTGCCAGCCCAGTGCCTCTGTGCACCAGTTTCCTGGGCCGGTGCGGCTGCCACAGCAGCTGCTGCTTCAGGGCAGTTCCCGGGACTCTTGGAATGACTCTGTGCAGAGTTATGACCTTGATTATCCAGAGCGGCAGGCCCTCAGGTGGGTATTGAGAGCAAAGTGCTTCTTTTCCTAGTGTCCAGGTCCCACGATACAACTGACAAAAGGATTTGAGTTCTTTCAAACGAAGTGGTAGTGGCAGAGTAACAGTAAGGTGGGCCAAGCTGCAGTTACTTTGTCTTCTTCTCTTGCACACACTCACACACATCTCCACCAAGAGTACTTTTTATGGTTAGAGATTCTCAACTAGTGTGGACATTTTTCACTTGGAGTCGATGGCTGAAAATAGACTGCTGTCCCCCCCGCCGGCAGCTAAGTGATTTTTTTTTTTTTAATACACTTTCACCATGATTTAAAAAAGGAAATCACAAATATTACATGTTCGGTTACACCTGCCTGTTTTATTTCTTGGGAACTTCATGAAAAACCAGTAAGATCTCACTATCAGATTTAGCACTTTTGCTGGAACTTGGTTTTAATTTAATTTTATTAAATATGTGGTTGAAAATTTTAAGGTACAAAACAGCATACATTAAAGAATCTCCCACCCCTGTTTTCTCCCTCTACTGTATTACCTTCCTGTCCCTTCGTTCCCTTCCCGTTACCATTTCATATGTATCCTTCTGTAGACTGTTGTTACGTATTTGTGAGTATAAAGGAAAACATTTAAATTTGTGTTCCTCCATTTTCCAGTGTTTTAAAACAGTATTTCAAACTTAAAGAAAATTTGAAGAAATAGCCTGATGTGGTGGTGCATGCCTGTAATCCCAGCACTCAAGAGGCTGAGGCAGGAGGATCGCAAGTTCAAGGCTATTTTTGGTATACAGTGAGTTCAAGGACAGCCTAAATTATGTAGTGAGACCCTGTCTCAAAAACTAAAACTAAAACCTGGAGAAATAATAAATGAATGACCATATTTTTAGTTCTTATGAATAACCATGTTCTTGTCACCTAGAATTCAGTTGTGCTGACCTTTTATGAGTTACACCTCCTTCTCCATAATATATACCTGTATTTTACACCTCCTTCTCCATAATATATGCCCACGTACACCCATATTTTATACCTCCTTCCCCATAGCATATGTCCGTATATGCGCATACTTCATACCTCCTCCTCCATAATATATGGGCATATACATGCATATTGAACGCCTCCTTCTCCATAATATATGCCCATATACATGCATATTTTACACCTCCTCCTCCATAATATATGCCCGTATACATGCATATTTTACACCTCCTCCTCCATAATATACGCCCGTATACGTGCCTATGTCACACCTCCTCCTCATAATATATGCCTGTATATGCACCTGTGTCACACCTCCTCTATAATATATGCCCATAGACACGCCTATTTCACACCTCCTCCTCCATAATATATGCCTGTATACACGCATATTTCACACCTCCTCCTCCATAATGTATGCCCATATATGTGCAAATTTCATACCTCCTCTCCATAATACATGCCCATATATGCACCTGTGTCCCACCTCCTCCTTATATGCCCATGTATGTGCCTGTTTCACACCTCCTCCTCCATAATATATGCCCGTATAGGGCATATGTCACCTCCTCCATAATATATGCCCATATACGTGCATATTGTACACCTTGTCCATAATATATATTCATATATGCACATTTTTTTTTTCCTGAGCAATTTGACAATAATTTGCAGATAACATGTTACTTTTCTGGAAAGTACTTCGGTATGTAACTCCTAAAGAAAGCCTTTTTAAAGTGCATTTCCTCGGGGCTGGGGATTTAGCTCAGCGGCAAAAGCGCCTGCCTGGCAAGCGCAACGTCGTGAGTTCGGTTCCCGGTACCGGAGAAAAACCAAAAAAAAAAAAAAAAAAATAAAGTGCATTTCCTCTCCTTTTGATCTAGGATCCTGTCAAGAATCACAAGACATTATATTTGATTTTTTTTTTTTTTGTATTTGATTTTCCTATTTTCTTAGTCTTTTTTAATCTAGCAAAATTTCCTTTCTAGTCTTTTTTTTTTTTTTTTTTTTATGGTCTTTTCAGGTTTTTTTTCCTGATTGTTTTTTCATGTCTAGAATCAGTTTAAACATTTTGGAAGAATATTACATAGGGAAATGTTTCCTTCATTCTATTCAGGAAATACATACTTCATCTTATTATTGGTGATGTTTAGTTTGATGTTTTGGTTAAGAAACTTGGTATATATTGTATTACTGCAGTATAAAGCTACCTTTGTTGTTTGTAACTAATAATATCTGGGGTGATACCTAATTTGCATCCTCATCCTATAACCTTTTATCCTAATTTGCATCCTTTCCCAATAACCTTTTATCCGGTGATTTTTCACACCTATTGATCCCAGCCTAAATCATTTATTTCTTGGTTGGAGATTAGTTGCAATTTAACTCAGACTTGTTTTGTTTTATTCTGTTTTGTTTGTTTGTTTTGTTTTGTTTTGTTTTGTTTTGTTTTTTGGTTTTTCTCCGGTACCGGGAACCGAACTCACGACGTTGCGCTTGCCAGGCAGGCGCTTTTGCCGCTGAGCTAAATCCCCAGCCCCTTGTTTGTTTTTCTTGAGACAGAGTTTCTCTATGTAGTTCAGGCTCATCTTGAACTTGCTATGTAGTGCAGGCTGACCTCAAACTTGCAGTGCTCCTCCTACTTCAGCCTCCCTAGTACTGGGATTATAGGCATGGGCCACCATTTATAAAATTCACCAAGCCATAGGATGATCTCATTTTTTTTCCCACCTCAAACTACCATATTGGTGAATTTTTATCGCAAGCCTCAAAAGGCTATCTGCCTGCTAGACAACATCCTGTCCAAGTTTACTATCACCTCTGAAAATGCTTTGAGTGAAATTTCCTCATCTGTCATCCACAGCATAAAGTTTGTACTGTATTGTGCTGTTTTGTTTTGAGAGACGGTGTCACTGTGTAGTTCAGGCTGGCCTTGAACTCACACAGTATAGCCCAGGCTGGCCTGGAACTCATGGCGATCCTCCTGCCTCAGCCTCTGAGTGTTGGGATTACAGGCATGTGCCAACATGCCTGGCTAAAGTTTGTACTGTTCTTATATGGAGTCTAAAACGAAACACATTAAGAGTCCTCGTGAAATTGGTGCCCACTCCTTGATAGTTTATTAATTGAATGCTTGCACTTTTTTTTTTAAACAGACAAGGTCTTGTTATATTGCCTAGGCTGGCTTGGAACTGCTGGACTCGTGCATTCCTCTTCCTCGGCCCCATGAATAGCTGCAGCCAGAGGCACACGCCACCAAGCACGTGGACGCTTGCATGATCTGCTCATTTGTGGTGTTCTACTTCCTCCCCCTCCACTGTGCTCTTAGTTTTTCAAATTTTCTGTTATCACTCTTTTTATTGGTTATGCAGATTAATAGGTTTCATTTTGGCACATTCATACATGCACGTACCTTTAATAATTTCTGCCCCCACCACCCCTGCCCCAGCCCTCTTCCTAGTTCCACATTTTTTGGAGGGGTTCCAGTGTATTTGCGCATATCCATCCTTCAGTTACCCACTTTTGTGTCCTCTTCCCCCACATCCTTTTTCCCTTCATCTTGTCTGGTAGTCTCCCTTCTACTTGGCATCTTTTTTAGATTATATTGTTCCACTTTAAGAATAGAAATAATAGCAAGAAATAGTTTTCTTTTGGCTTTCTTTCCCTTCTATATTTGCAGGCATTAAATGTGCAGGCCAGGAGCTGGGCATGGTGGCACATGTCTGTAATCCCAGCACTCAGGGAGCAGAAGTAAGAGCATTGCTGTGAATTTGAGGGCAGCCTGGGCTACACAGTGATTTCTAGGCCAACCTGAACTACAAAAAGATCCTGTCTTAGAAAACAAAACAAAAAGTGCTGGCCAGCAGTACTAGTGGCACATCAACCTAGGTAACTATATATTCTTCCATTTGTAACAAATTATAATTTACCTAATCACTACCTTTCAGTTTTGATTATTTCCTGGGTTACTGCTATAGTAAGTAACACTTATAAGAGCATTAGTGATACACTTTAAGTTGCAAATTTTTTTCCTATTTTTTTCTCTAGTTATTCCATATAAATTAAACTTTATTATATCAATATATGAATCGAGATTGAAAAGTAAATATTTTGTCAAGTGCCAGCCAGAAAAAAACCAAAAGGATTTTGGTTTTATAATAGACTTTTTTTTTTGGTACTAGGGATCAAACACAGGGGTGCTCTACCATTGAGTTACACCCTCAGCCTTTGTATTTTTTATTTTGAGACAGTTTTTTTGCTAAATTACCCATTCTGGATTTGAACTTGCAGTCTTCTTGCTTTGCCTTCTAAGAAGCTGAGGTTATAGCAATGTGCCACCTGCACCTGAAGTTATAAACATTTTAAACAATATTTTGAAATGATTTCTCCTTATTACAGCTGCATTAAAAAAAAAAAAAAAAAGAACATGGTTGAATCGGATTTCATCACTCAACCAAATGCACTTTTACTTATTGAATCCAACTTGGTGGATTCCAGCACTTGGGAGGGTGAGGCAGGAGGATCACCAAGAGTTCCGAGGTGGGCCTGGGCTACATAGTGAAACCCTGTCTCAAAACAAAAAAGAAAAACCTGTTGTATCCAGAATAACAGGATGTTTACATAATTTGAGGTTTGACAATAGAATTGGACTTCGTTAGATATTACTAACCAAAGTATTTCTAGTGTTGAGGCTGTTTTACATTCTCATCCCTGAGACACAATACCTGACACCCACAAGTTAAAGGAGGAAAGGTTTATTTTAGTTCATAGTTTGTACAGGTTTCAGTCCATATTCAGATGATGCCAAGGCAGGGTGGGTGGCAGGGGAGAAACAGTCCATGGCATGGCAGGCAGGAAGTAGCAAGTAGGGAGCCTCCCTTCCTCTTTTTATTCCTATTTTTTTTCCTCTGGTACTGGGAATGGAACTCACGACCTTGCGCTTGCCAGACGGGCGCTGTGCTGCTGAGCTAAATCCCCAGCCCCCTTCCTCTTTTTATTCCATCCAGGCTACAAGCCTGTTGCTTGGT